TATCCTTATAAAAACAACACTCCCATACAACTTAGCTGAAAAATGTTTAGTTTCAAGATACTTAAAAGGCATTTAACGGCCACTAATGGTTTTAAAAATTATGTTATTTACTTTAATGCTAAATTTTAACACTTAGTAAATACAACTTCTAAGAAAATCTCTCTTTTATATCCATAAAATTATAATCTCGCATTCAAAACTTCCACCATTTTTCAAATAACTAATATACTCTAATGGATCTCGAAAATCAAGGTTTTAAATATGTTAACTCGAATCATTATATTATCGTCAAAGAAAATTTACCATAAATCCAAATTCTTTACAATTTCTGACTAACAAATGTTCTCAAATTTATACTGGTGCTTTGTACTAGATGAAAATAAAACTTTAAATCTTTTTCTAACCACTACAATCAGAATTTACCTGCTAGAAGAATTTATCATTAATCCAAAATTCGACCTCTTCAGTTTACAGAGCATAAATTTCGACTAGAGTTCCGTAACTGATGACAATACTAGTAACAATCGCTTCCTAATTACTGCAATCAAAATAAATTTTCGTTTGGTTAAAGATTTCAAACTTCGACTAGAGTTCCGTAACTAATGACAATACTAGTAACAATCGTTTCCTAATTACTGAAGGCAAAATAAGTTTTCGTTTAGTTAAAGATTTCAAACTTCGACTAGAGTTCCATAACTGATGACTATAGTAGTAACAATCCTTTCCTAATTACTGCAATCAAAATAAGTTTCCGTTTAGTTAAAGAGTTCAAACTTCGACTAGAGTTCCGTATCTGATGACGATACTAGTAACAATAGTTTCCTAATTACTGCAATCAAAATAAGTTTTCGTTTACTTAAAGATCTGAAACTTCGACTAGAGCTCCGTACCTGATGACAGTACTAATAGCAATCGTTTTCTATTACTGCAATCAAAATAAATTTTCGTTTAGTTAAAGATTTCAAACTTCGACTAGAGTTCCGTAACTGATGACAATACTAGTAACAATCGCTTCCTAATTACTGCAATCAAAAAAAGTTTTCGTTTAGTTATAGATTTCAAACTTCGACTAGAGTTCCGTATCTGATGACAATACTAGTAACAATAGTTTCCTAATTACTGCAATCAAAATAAGTTTTCGTTTAGTTAAAGATCTGAAACTTCGACTAGAGCTCCGTACCTGATGACTACTAATAGTAATCGTCTTCTATTACTGCAATCAAAATAAATTTTCGTTTAGTTAAAGATTTCAAACTTCGACTAGAGTTCCGTAACTGATGACAATAGTAGTAACAATCGTTTCCTGATTACTGCAGGCAAAATAAGTTTTCGTTTAGTTAGAGATCTTAAACTTCGACTAGAGTTCCGTGACTGATGACAATTCAAGCAGCAATCCTTTCCTAATTATTGCAAGTAAACTTTATCTTAATTCCATTGCCACTTGAAATGTACTTTATAAAGTAAACAAATTATTACACAACTAAAAAAGAAGAAAAAACATCAAAATCAGAGTTTTTTCAAATGGGCTTATGAGAGGGAAATGATTCCATTTTTATCACACCTAACTCAAAAATGTGATGCATCGCTATCGTAGCACACTTATTACTGCCATGGAAACTCCTTCACACCCTTCGAAAATGGTCCGTATATTTTACATTTTCATTGTGACAAATTAATAATTATTTTCTCAATTTTACTCCTTTTGAAAGTCCTGAGTTTAGGGATTTTATTTCATTTCAATACTTTAATATAATAAAACTACAACCTTTCGTCAATGAAATCCTTCTGCTACATCATCCACCTTGAATTGCATTCTATGCCGAAATTTCATTAAATGATGGAAGCTATTTACCTTTTTTATCACAAATAAAAATGTTCACATATTTATAAACATAAATAAATTAATGTTGCATGCTGAACATCACCTTTCTTATACCATACAATTACAAAAGCAATTTCAAATACGTTATGAAAAAAACTAAATTTAAATACGCTAATGAAAAAAAAACTAATATTAAAATAAACTGCATACGTTAAATTCCAAGCAAAGCTAAGCAATCGGGCTTACTAATATCAATCAATCAATTGTCAATCAAACAATCAATTTCTTCAATTTTTTTTTCCCTTACAGCTTTTTTTTCTCCAGCTGAGCGTAATTTAAAGATATAAGTAATATGATCAATCTCTTCTTATTTGCGTTTTTGTTTTATAAAAATAATCAATAGGTACCAAAATCTCCTTTTTTTTTCTTTTTTTTTTTTTTTTTTTTTTTTNTTTTTTTTTTTTTTTTTTTTTTTTTTTTTTTTTTTTTTGATTAATTAAATTCTCTGAGGTCTGCAGTTATTAGATAAAGTATTGAAAAAAATGACCAAAACTGAATGGTCTTATTTGTCCTAAGTGATATTTTTAAATAATAATATTTAACAACCATGAGCTTTCGGATTAAATCCCTTCATTGATAACTAGTAATAAAGTTTCAAACTTCAATAAAAAACTGATGTTTCTTCAGTTTAATTTATTAATTAATTATTGATAGAACATTATAACTTGGATACATCTATTTTATTTATTGTAGAAAATTTCATGAAAGATATTTTTGTTTTGCTGTTTCAAGAAATATCCTGTTTTTCCACCTGCAGCATTAATTTACTTTGCAAACAGACAAAACACCACATAGGCTTAAAATTAATCCCACTTTCTGCGCATGTGCGTAATATTTTCCGATGATTATTTGATCACTTCCAACAGTTTGAGTAAGTGTATACATTTATTTGAATTATTTAATTGCCAATTCTTTTTCTAGAATGTATCATAACTCTATGTCATACCTGCCAACTCTTCCGGATTTTCCGGAAGATTTTATTTTTATATTTAAAGTGGTAGTAAATATATACTTTTTTTCTTTTATAAACTTAATTTTTAAATGATTTTGATCGCCACTAATCTTACAAAAATTAAGCACATATATTAATGTGCGTTACTATCATGGTTGTCAACTTAAGGTTTCTCAAATACAACGTATTTGTTTGCTTAAAATTGAAGTTTTAATTCCATTTTAATACCACTGGGAAAAATGATAATGGAAAGGATTAAAAGTTGGCAGGTATGCTATGTATTCGACTATATCATAAATATATGGGTTCAAATAACATTTTCATGTGTGAGGAAATTAAAAACCCATTTTCAAGACAAAATTTTTTATTTATAGATTCAGAAGGAAATATATGTATTAAATATTTTTATGCAATAAATCTTATTATAAATTATTTAACTATGTTGTTTAAACCTATATTTTTTAATAAAATAATATTTTATTTTACTAAAAAGTTTTATTCAGTTCAAAATGATCTTTAAAGCCAAAAATTAAAAAAAGAAATGTATTTGAAAGGAAGTAAAGGTAAAGGAAGTAAAGGAAAGGTAGTATTTGAAAAGATGGAGTAAATTACTTTATAGAGACTACATTAATTGGGTATTTGCACTCCAGGAAAAAGATCTCCCATACCCACACATATGACCTATGACGTCAGCGGCAGCTGATCTTTATCAGCAAAATGGAGTATTAAAGTTCAGCTAAGTTTCTCAGCCTCTGGTAGAATGTTAATTAAGTAAAAGTAAATTAAATTCAGAGCCGTATCGCTCATCGAATTAGTTGAAATATAATTCTTTCTAGTCTACTTCTTTTAATTAACTTAGATTTATTATTTGTTTATGCATTTTACTGTAACCGTGATATAGTTTTGATTTGTGTACCTGGCAACTTCGATGCATAATTAGTTTAATTTTTCACATGGCTTTAAGTCTCTGTGTAAATATATAGTAGATGAATTGAAATCTTTGCGAAAGGATCTTCCTGAAAGAATTTAGAATGTATCCCTTAAGAGAACTTAAACTTGACGGGCTTGGCTTACTCGAAATAGAATGAAAAGAACAGTTGCTAATATAAAAAAATGCCACGCTTCAACAACCAATTAGGATCGTGACTCCCTCACTACGTCACGTGCAGGTATCCCATTATCATTGCTAACAATGCAACAAGACAGTTTTAAATTTTTAATTCAAGCATTAATTAATATTTAAAACATATTCACTTTTAATTTAACTAATTAAAACAATATCCCGTTTATATTATGCAGCCATGATTTAACACAAGGTATCTTCTAGCTTATTACTTAGTTGTTGACTTTTATTAGCTATGACATTAATTATAACCTTAAATTATTTATTAATATCCAAAGATGCGAACACCAAGTAATATGTCTGGTTCTTTGTTGGAATGTATGATTACCCTAAAGTCTAAAACAGCTATGTTGTTCCAAGTGCAAACTTTACGGCGTATTTATCTCAAAAAGATTAACTCCTCGAGGGACTGAATTGAATTGCTTTAAGGTTGTTGTTTTTTTAAAAAACTCTCTCTTCATATGAAATAAAGATTTTTTTAGGGAATAATGTGGCATACATTCATATAGAAAATCTGACTCTCTCACCATGAAAATCTGACTCTCTCACAAAGGAAGATCGGACTCTGATCACAAGAGCTCATTATACTAATTAAGAAAATGGCGTAAAATTTCAACATGAAGAGAAGTCATATTTTAATGAAAGTAAGAAGTATTGAACTAACTTGTTACTTCACTATTAAAAGTTATTCTAACACAGCAAATTCTGGGCTCACAAAATTTTATTAACATTGAGAATGATTTATCGATTTTAATAATTTTTAGAAAATCTTGCCAAATTGGAAGTTTTTAAAATCGTTTAACCATTTTTGGAATATTTAAGCTACTTGTGAGCTCTAAAGGGATTCTAAATAAAATTTTACCATGCGTAATGTATATAATTTGAAAATATAATTTAGTTTACGGCATTTAAACTAGGTTTTTACTAATTTTTTTTTTTTATTTATTTTTTTTTGGTGAAAAAGAGTTTCAAAAAAACATCTTTAGTGGCAGGCAGGCAATAAAAGGAAATACTACTAACTATTATAAAAAAGAACACAATATAAGATACGATAAAATTATGTCATTAGAAACGTTGAAGGGCAAGAAACATTTATCCCCTTATTATTTGCATTTTTGTAAATGAAATTGGTAATTAAACTGATCAACAATATAAACAGATAAACAGAATCTAAAATCTTGTGTAATAATGAGGGATTATTTGACACTATATAAAATAATTAATGACTCTAAAATATACACTGAAATTATTAAACATGAAGCAGAATAAATAGAAAACTGAATGTTATTAAAAACGTATTAGTTTCTTATAAGCATTTAGATTTATTCAACCTTCATTTATTTGCAACACTTGAATGTTCAAAATAGGCTTGTTTTTCTAGGCACAAGCTCAAGATGACCGTTGTACCGTCAATATGGAAAAAGAACATTATCAACCAACCAACAATGAAATTCCTGTTTTTCATTATTGTCGCATCGATATTATTATACATTTTACAAGTAGAAATTCAACCTTTTACAAATGTTAGACAAGTCTTAACTTCTGAAGAACAACAGCCAGGTGAAAAATATATCATCGTATTTGAAGGAGGCAGTAAGAGTACAAGCATGCGTATATTTCATTTTATTTCCAATTCAAGTAAGTGCTTTCGGATTTGTACGCCTATTGTTTTTAAAAACTTTTAATTGGAGAATCATACAGTGGAGATTTAGGGTCCCTTTTAGAGTTCATTTAATGTGAAAAAGTACATTTGAATATTGTTAATATAATACACTGTAAAAATTCCGGATCAAATTACGGTATTAAGTACCAGCACTTTGAGTGCATAATCAGTAAAATCCACTTTTACCGTAATTTTTACAGTCATATTCATTTATTTAGAGTAATTCAGTGATTTTAATGCAATTATTACTGTAAAAAATGCTGTGTTTCAGATTTTCTGACCCGCAACATGTTCCGGTAAAAACGGATTTTTACGGTAAAAAATACTGTTAAAGAATTAGTTTAGTTACCAGTTTTGACTTTTTATGCTGACTGATAACGTTTCTTGCTGACCCATATTTATGACAGTCGGCGCGAAGGATTAAATCTACTCTGCATCTGCCAGAATAGCATCGTACATTTCATTCATAACTTTATATTTTGTACGAAAAGCCAACGTATTCTTTTCTCTTAGGTGAAATCGCACTTAAAGGAGGATATTATGCAAAAACAGGAGGGCCTGGACTTACCAGTTTTGCTGATAAACCTTATAATGTATGTATTTCTGTTTTGTATTATCCTTTTATGCGATGAAATAATATTTTATCCGATGTGATAAGAAATATATTATATTGTAAATGTTTAATTGAATTGAATAGGGCACGATATATGGAGGATATTTTAAGTTACGAAATCAGAAAAAACGCAGTTTCTCTAAGTATCTTCTTTTTTTTTACGACGAATTCTTATTTCGGACACCCAAAATGTAGGGGGTAGCAGCAATCTGAAAAATATGGTCCCAATTGTTTGGTCAGAAGAGCGGTCCAAAGTTTGAACCCCTTAATGTTAATTTTACTTTCTGCGTATTTCGCTTTATCTCTCTAGAACTTTTTATGCGAATTGAAGACTTTTTGCTCGCTATTATAAAATTTACTTATCCGAAGGTAATTCCATGCACAAAAAAGAAACTTTATTAAGTATTTGCCATTTTCTTATCATTTTATTTAATATTAGTCGAAAAATATCATATTTTAAACTTCAATATCTCAGGAACAGTTGAACCGATTTCACTAAAATTTAGCCTTTTGCCATGTGAAATTATATTCTTTAAAATGATGCAAAAAAATCTTACAACTTACAATTCAAAACTATTTCTACTAATATTAAATAAAGTTATAAAAAAAGGGTAAATATTTACCAAAAAATATTTTTTGCGAGGAATTATGTTTGGATAAATCAATTTTATAATTGTGTGTAGGAAGTTGCTTTAAAATTTCTCGAGATATGGCGAAATACGCAAAAAATTAATATTAAGAGGTAAAAAACTCTGACTCTTGGACGAATCTTTTCACCACACTATAGGGACCATATTTCCCAGCTTGTCACTACCCCCTATGTTTAGGGGATTTAGAAATCCAAATCCGCCGAATAAAAAATAAGTTTATTCAGAGAAAGTACGTTTTTGTGTCTGACTTCGTAACTTAAAATATCGTCTGCACTCATTTATTAGCATATTTGAGGTACTCGACCCAATTTTTGAGTTTACGACTGCTAATGTTCAACTCCATAACATTGTAATTTTGAGCCCAATCTAGAAGACAAGGGAATTATTAGATCAAGTAGTGGGAGAATTTGTCTTTGTGGAGGATTTTTTGATGGAACCGCATTTGCGTTACATTGAGATCAAAACTGCGAAAAATTCCCACGGTTAGCCTGAAGGCAAGGGGACCCTAACCCATGATCCGTCTACCACTGAGGATATTTTACGTCAGCATAACTGTGGTCGGTGTGAGCTGGATGCGTATCGAACAGCCATTGCTGGGGTTCGAGCCCAGTTCACCTCATAGAAAGACGAACGGTCTATCCTTTGAGCCACCATGGCTCCCTTCAAATCCTTAAGAATGAATTCTCGAACGTGAAGATCCGATCATTAGATCAAAAGTTATTAAAAGTGGTCCGTTTTCTATTTTGGTCACTGTATGTACATAGACCATTTCATCCAACGACACCCCTCCGCCACGGTGAGGCATCATGCAGGACTTGGAGAGGATAATTTTTATGTAATCGCATTCAGTATTAAGACATTTTGGGCATAAATACATAGTTACAAAATATTTTTCCATGAATATTAATTGATTTCATATATAGCGTACGGAACAAAATCTAAATTATAACTCACAGTTTTTTTTGTTTTGTTTTTTTTTTTGTTACCTGCATCCTATTAGCTTCGAACTCAGTTTCTATCATATTTAAATAATTAGTGAAGCAAATTAGTTTAAGGTGATCCCGAAAACTGTAACAGCTATTTGCATTTTAGGTTGCAAAAAATATCACTTTTTTACTAGAAAAAGCCGAAAATATAATACCATTTGAGAGATGGAGTGAAACTCCCGTAACACTAAAAGGCACTGATGGACTCAGATCATTACCAAAACATGCATCAGATTCCATTTTGAAAGAGGTATATTTTTTGAACACTTAACTTATTTATTTGAATATTTATAATAGTCAAAAATAAACTTCAGTTGTTTGAAGTTCACCATAATTAATCACAGTAACATTTTCTAAATAGTGCACAGTAATAATTTTAATGTAATACAATTAGTTGCTAAGATATTAATAAATATTTTTACTGTCTTTTCGTAGGTAGAAAATATATTTAAAAATTCTTCCTTTGTATGCAATGAAAATTGTGCTACTATAATATCAGGAGAGGATGAAGGTACGGATTACATCGCTTTTTGTAATTAATTTTTGTTCATTAAAATTGTAAACCAATAAATTTTAATGTAGCATAAATTGTAAAACTACAGAAAAATATCGAAATTAAGATAGAATATGCTTTGTAATACATATGAATAAAGCAAAATCCCTCAAATAAAGCGTAAATAAACACCCTAAAGACGGACATACTATAGTTTCAGTTCCATAAATAAGAAAAATCTTCAGTGTCTGAACACAAAATGCCGTGTTTCGACACCAATGGAGATTCTTGTTTGTTGAACCAAAGCTATGTTCTTTTTTTGGGTCTATGAACCATGTTCTTTTTTTGGCCTATATTTCTGCTTTGTTCATATAGAAAATTATTTCTTTGCTCTAATTAAGATAACAATAAAAAATTATATAGAGTACTTCTTACAACATTTTCTTTGATATTATGACAATATTTGAAAAAAATTCTATAATTAATGAAAAAAAATTTTTTTTCAGGATTATATGGATGGTATGCGTTAAATTTTTTATTAGGTAATATCTATACAATGATTATTTTTCGTGATATGTTAAAAAACCATTTATTGACTTAATCTAGGAATTAGTGATACTCGCATAAATGAAATTTTAAATTGTTATGAATTTCATTCTTCGACCCAAACTCATAGGGTGATTCCACGATGATGTGTAATTGGATATTATAATTTTGAACCAGTGTCTTTTTTGTGAATATGTGTTAAACTGTTCATAAATTAACATTTGGTTCAAAGTAATTGCAGTAATAGATACATATTTACGAAAATGTTTTGACAAATATCTCAACTAATTCCTTGTGCCCCGAACTAAACACAACCGTGGAAAAGCCCTAAAATAATACCAATGATACCAAAATGATAAAATTAGACCAAATAATTACCAAATATCAAATTTCAAAAATTTTTGTTTTACTTTTTTGAGCCTGATCAATTTTTATTTTAATTTTTGGTTGCATTTTTATTTTAACTTTCTGTCAGAAAAATTAGATTTGTTTTAGATTTTTATCTACAAATTCTTGAAAAAATTAAAAGAAAAATTACGTAGCTTCAAATTATTTTAAATGTAAATCGCGAAAATGATCAAAGCAAATTGAAGCATCGATATTTTTATTGAATAAACAAAATAAATTAAAGAAACATTCAAAACATATTTAATGATATTAAGATAAAAAATATTAGTTAGAAGTTTTTAATATTAAAATGACTCGCAAAAGAATTCAGGACAAATTATGCTGTTTTCTTTTTCAAAAAAATTCACAAATTTGTTCCGCATTTTGATTTGTATCTAAATTTTAGCTTTATCCCTTTGACGCACAATTTTTTTAAACATATTTTTTCATACTTTTGCTCATTTTTGTAGTAGTTTAGGTTGAAATAATTTTAAAATATATTATATTTATCATTTTAATGGTTATGAAATACAACATGAAAAATTAAAATTACTTTTTTTGGATTTTATATTTTAGTAATAATATAATTCAGATTTTTACAGTAACTCTTAGGCTGTTCTTCTATAATTAAAAATGCAAAAATATTTTTTTTCTTGTTATTAGAACGTTAAAAATGCATATAAAAAAAAGGACACCTGTGTCCCATTTGCGCCAAAAGGTTAAAAAACCTCTTCGATTAACTCAAACATGCTTTTTTGTGTAAGCATAACCCACATGAATACCTTAGTATTTGAATCATCGGTAAAAAAAAATTATTTTGCTTTTAAATAAAATATATAGACTATCATACATTTGATTAAAATTTTAGGTAGATTGAAAAATGATGGTTATTCAGCAGCATTTATAGAATTTGGAGGAGATTCCATACAATTAGCTTTTTCAACAGTTAATTTAGGTACTTTGAAATTAATAACGGATAACTATACATCTCTATTCAACGAATCAGATAAACCATTGGAAATATACTCTAAAAGGTAAGGATATTTTTTTAAACAGTATTTAAATTTTCGCTTCGATTTTAAATTACTGATAAAGTTTATAAAAATTCATGTTTACTTTGAAAGTAAAAAATAAATGTTAGAATTTCATTTTGTAGACGTTAAGCAAGTTATACTTTTTGATTTGTATCTAATTTTATAATAGTTATTTAGGTTTAGGCTATGAAACTACAAGACTATCAATTTTACAGTTGACAAGCGATGGCACAGGTAAGTTAAAAAGAATAATATCTTTAATAAATTGTACTGTGTCAAAAATGTATGCTAAATTTTCCAATATTAATTGCACTTAAGTCTAAATTTCTGTTTCTATTTAGCAATGGTGTTTTTAAATGATAATTTTGAGGTTGATATACAAAACGCATCACTTAATTTTCAAGAAAACAGCCCATAAACACCTATTTATGTTACAGAAATTAAGTTAATTTATGTAAAATGAATTTAATTAAGAAATTGACATTAATTAAAAATTTACATTAAGTAAAATTACTTGCACATAGCTTCGCTGAGATTGTAACGCAAATAATGAAACTACACTGTAAAAAATTTAGGATCAAATTAAGATAAAAAGTACCGATATTTAGGGTGCATCATCCGTAAAATCAATTCTATCGTAATATACAGTACAATAATATTTTTTTATTAGAATTATTTTGCGGTAATTTTTACTGTAAAAATTACGATATATCAGATTTTTTGTTTTGTAATATGTTCCAGTAAAAATTGATTATGCGGTAAAAACTACCGAGTCCCTGAGTGCCGGTATTTTTAATCATAATTTGATCAAGAATTTTTTTACAGTGTATAAGGCTTCTTCTTTATCCGTACATTGGATGTGTATCGAATTTTAAATTTTTCAGTATTAGGATTTCACAATAATTTAATTTTTTTTAATTCTAAACAAAACTAAAAATCATAAATGGGATACTTTTTTAGGTATCGAACTACATGGAACCATGAAAGCTTCGACAAAAGTATAAAAAATGCATATCAGTAAAAATAAAAAATTTAAAAGAAGTAAATAAAACATGAAGTGCAGACTGAAATCTCAATATTTGATACTCTAGAATTATTTCGAACATATGGGGGAATTATAGGTCCACATGATACCCTCAGATTGATAATATTACCCGCTTTCTCCAGAATTTATATTAATTTCTTTTACAGCAATGCATTTATGTATGAAATATAATGCAATGCAAGAGAACAAAAAAATAGAAAATAATTTAATTTTCGTCACACCTAAAACAAGAAAAGTACACAGAAAATTTTTCCAATCTTATGCCGCCTAATTTAATCGTTTTAAATATAACAAAATTAGAATTAAATTACAAATGTCTAATACTTTAAGTCATAACATATTAAATTCCAATGTTTTAGCTCTTTCGGAGAATGAAAACATCGCAATACTGTCCAGCCCTTGTATAAACCCTTCACACATTCAACTCTGGGTACAAAACGCAACCAGATATGTTGTCATGTGAGTTATTTTACAACTTCAGTTCATGAAAATAATATCTGCAAATTAACATATTATATTTACTTATCATGAATAATTGTCTTTTTCTTCTAAAAAAATTACATTTGGTATTTTTAACTTCAGAGAAAGTGAAATAAAATTAGTTTGCCTTCAAAATATTTCAATTTTGAATGAATTTTATAAAATTCGATTTAAGATTTAAAATCATTGCTAATTACAACATTCACCTCCTTGCAAGAGTCTAAGATATTTTGAAATGCGCTAGGCTAATTGGAATATTTTTCAATGTTTTCAGATATGCCTGGTAGAGCAAGGATTACTATAAGCCAGTTTATATTTCTTTTAATCGGAAAATCTGTGCAAAATTACTGAAGCTAAATTTGCTAAGAAATTTTGCAATAAAGCTTAAATAATATCATTTAATTTTGGGCATACAAAAAATTGCCTTAAACAAATCACGCTGACTAAGCTCTGAAGGAGAGTTTTTCGAACAAGTATATTTTTAGCCTAAATGTGTGTGAACTCACTGCAATTAGCCTAAAAAGGGTCAAACCGATTAAAAAGACAGAAATTTTTTTCAATTAGCCTAACTTGTTGACTTTAGTTGTCTGTAAAGAGCTGGATTTCAACTTGCGACAAATATATTCGAATAAGAACTTACATGCTTGTAGACCTGAAACAGAGTTCTCATTCATTTCTGATCTAAATTGCGCAATGGCAAATCCAGAAGTGAGAAATGCTTGTGAGTGACCAAGCCCATTACAAGTTTTTCAATCTTCGCATTCAGTAGGTAAAGTTAAATTTTGTACGAGCTATATTTTGGCTATACTACCACATTTATACGTATTGTTTTTTAAAGTATCACACTACATAAAATCTTTTATATTCTACTGTAAGCAGTTTAATTTTGGTTTGCAACTTTGCGCCCTTTGTTCCTTCCATTAAATTTACCTTTTTCCCCTTATTTATTTTACGTTAATTACATACCATTTTTTGCAGTGGCCAGAAAAGAGGTAATTTTAGTTATGAGCATTGTTACGAAAAAATCATGGAATTTCTTGGAGATACAGTGGAAAGGCCACCGAACTTAAATTATCATGACATTTACGCTATCAACATTAATATGGGAGAGTTCGGCGTTGTAAGTACGTGGCTTACTTTCAACTGTTTTTTTTCCCATAAAAATATATAGGCTGTATGTATTTTTTATAAACTTCTTGATTTTTATTCATCAGGCGGAGACGACTCAAAATATACTGTCGATGAACTTGTGAAAACTTGCATTAAATTTTGCTCATCTGAGGCACCCGTTATTGGAAAATTTTCGTGCCTCGACTGTACTTACTTAATAGCATTTTTACAGCATGGCTTAGGACTCAGTCATGAAAAAGAAATAACGGTAAGGAAAAAAAAGTGTCATTACTCAATTACTAAAGTCTTTAATAATTTAAAAGGAGTCTGAGTTTCTTATTGAACTAATCAAGAACTATGAACAAAATGTATTTAAAAAAATTTGACATTACTTGCTACATTAGTTCTGAATATTATAAATTTTTTGTAAATCGGATAAAAATGAAAGAAGTTATCATGCCTGCGAGTATAAAAACATTATAACATTATTTTGATAAATAATTCTAAAACATGACCTTAATGCTTAGATCAAAACATTTTTTTTGTGAATGAACTAGAATTGAACTGAATGTGGTGTTTAATAGCGCAAGGTCTAAAAACAAGACATACAACACCAAACTAGTTTAACTGGATAGACATTCCATTTGGATATATAGACTTAGGAACTGGTTAATCATAAATAATGAATGCATAAGAAACCTTTGATCATGAACTAAGAATGAATAGGATCCCTTAGGACGTGAACTAGAGCTGGATAGGAACCGTAGAATCGTGAATTGGGGGCTGAATAAGAAATGTTTGATCATGAACTAACTGAGAATAAACAGGATCCTTTAGGACATGAACTGGAACTGGATAAGAACCGTAAATTCGTGAATTGGGGCTGAATAAAATTATTTCATCAAGAAACTGAGAATGAATAGGATCCTTTAGGACGTGAAGTAGAACTGGATAGGAACCGTAGACTCATGAATTGGGGCAGGATAAAAAACCTTTGATCATGAACTAAGAATGAATAGGATTCTTTAAGGTGAGACATAGAACTGGATAGGAGCGTAAGACTCACCTTAAAGTTAGCGAAAGTTTTTTTATCCATACTTATGCAAGAATAAGCCATTTTTCTCATTTATGTGCGTTTCAAGTTATTCTTTTCGGAGATTGTTTTCAAAATTTGATTTCTTTTTTCTTAAATTTCATTTAGTTGGTAAAAACCGTTGGACATCAACTTTATTCAATCAGTTTGACAATTTAAGAAGAAATTTGCATTGAATTTCTGATATAATTGCATACCTACATATTCATATTCAGAGTACCACTTCTTCACATTGTAGATTCCGTGATATATTTCATACATAAAAATTGTTACCATGCTTTTTAAGTTTTTTTTAACTTTGAGGTATTTAATTATTTTTTAAATGTTTATTTTTGTTCAAGCAGTTTAGTTTCATACAAACAATATTGTTTGGACTAAATTAACAAATTATACAGTTCATAAGATATACCTTGATTATTATTTGTGTTTATGCATCAGCAATATGTTTATTGCTTTTAAATCATTGTATTATTTAATATTCTCCTCGCATTTTCTGAATAGAAAAAAAAATGAGGAAAACTCGCTGCACTGAGAAAAAAATATAGTCAAAATTGCCAGAATACTGCTGAAATTTACCATACATTACCTCAATGGAAACATTAAAAACCTGAGTGGTTTTTACCGAAGAGAGTTGGTAATGATTTTGGCAAAATAAGCAATAAAATATAGTTTTTATATTCGTGGTAAAGTTTGATAAATATGGCACAATTTGATAATTTTATCATGGAGAGCCTGGCAGGAAAACTATTTATATTATATATTATAAATTTACGTTCCAGTTTCGTATTTTTTACCAATTGTGTGGTAAAAAAAGCTTTAAAATCAAAACCTGAATTTCCAGTAACTAAACCATACGAACAGAAAAATTACCAAATGAATCATATAAATATCGTGTATTTTAGTTTTATTAACCAGAATTATGGTTTTTTTTTCAACAAAAATGCCTTTACTATAAAGTGCGGTAATTTTAACAGATTTTTTTTCTCCGTGTGTGATACTTTAAGGTTGTGAAATCTATGCCTACTTGTGAAGGCATTCTTCTACATTGTGCTTCAAATAACACTCATGGATCACATTGAGATGATTTGCAACATGTGCGACTTCAAAACTGCAAAAGTAATTCTCTCCACTTAGTAGCGCAGAAATTTTAAAAATCTCTCATATGTAGTTGTGTATTTTTCCTTAACTTCTAAAAACTACAATAATAAGAAAAGATAAAAAGCAACTTCTAGTATACGTATCTTCAACCGAACTGTTAGTTTGTAGGTTTTGTAGCAAGAGTCATAAATGACTACCGCACCGTAAGCCTAATCAGCCTTACTAACAAAATTATTACGTTTAATCTTACAATACGCTACAATGCAATCATATAATCATGCAATATATTACCTTTAATCGTATAATAAAAATAACACCTAAGAAAATTTGATTTCTTTCACAAAATATATATATTTTTAAACATTTAATAGTATTTGCTTTGAGGTAAGTTAAATTTCAATATGTACTCGTTTCTATCATAAATTAATACAGCTAAGAGAATAAATCTTTAAAGATTGTTTTATGTACAAATTTTATTATTTATATATGAGCTATATTTATATGTGTTTAATAGTTTCAGAATAAAATTCACGGAATTGATGTAAGCTGGAGTTTGGGTGTGGCTCTCGATGTGGTGAAACAGTTATGATTCACACTTCAGTGGATATGCGATCCGTTGTCAAATAATTTAAACAATGTAAAAGATTTAGATGTTTCTGCTTGTGCTCGTGTGTATATGTTGTGTTCGTGTGTCTCTTATATCGTTCATAATATTTTAAGTTTTAGTATTCAACTTGTTCGGTAATAATTATATACAACTAAATAATTTAGCTGAAATATTTAGAAGATTTGTAAAAATCTCAAATAATAAAATCAATTTTAAAAGATTTACAATGATTAAGAAAAAACAAACAAACAAATTTTTATTTTAAAACTACCAATAATTCAAAATAATAATTCAATATCAGACTATTTATCCAATAAAACATGAAAGTTTTCATTACATTTAACTCAGAAATTGTATTAGTATACTTAATTAGTTAGCTACTTAACTGGTTAGATAATAAATTAGCCGTTAATTTATTAGTAATGATTTTTACAAACAAGTTTTAGTAAGTTAATTAGGAACTATATTAACCATAATTCGCTCAGAACTACCGAAACTAGCTGTTTCATATTATTTAAAATTTTAAACACCGTAATTCTTTCTATTTTATCTGTCATACTAACTTAATCTAAACTTACTCTCAATGGGTCGAATCTTTAAATCCATTATAGATAACAGTTTTTGTTCAATTGAATTGTATATAATGTTTTATTTAATTGCATAAGGGTACGCCCATAAGTGGTGTCACACTTGGAGTATAAGGCAGTCACACATATTGATTAAAATTAAAACATTTCAAATCAACCTATAAAATATTTTTATATAATTAGTTTTTCCATTTTTTTCATATGTTTCATTAAAGCAAGTGCACATCTAAACTTTATTGATATAAGGATGACAAATATCATTAAAACTCATTGTTACAATTTAAAAATAAAATTTGAAATATGGTCTATAACTTGTGTTTTTTTCTGAACTGCTAGTACATTTTAATAGTGTTATGTAAAATAGTGTGACATGTGATAAGAAGAGTAGAAAAATATGATGAAGTGTGAGACATTGTGACAAAGAGGAAGAGAGGATTAGACATATTAAAAAAATCGTTATTATTTATGGAGGGTCCTCAATGGCTAAGTAAGATAGGCTGTGCCGAAGCAAACGATTATAGATACAGGTCAGAAGACAAAATGCACAATTGCCCTAGTACATAAAACTTGTGAATTTCATTTAAAATCGAATCAACGTATACAATTAAATCATTAAATAGATGAAACCCTTATCTCACGTAGAAACGTGTCATCCAACAAATCCTCCAACCGGCCAGATGGTTGAGTGGTTAGCGTTCCTGACGGCGAAACCAATGACTATGGGTTCGAATCCCGCTCAGGGCATGGTTCTTTCTCTGTGTAATGTTCACTGTTGTGTGATGCATTTATGAATGTGCCCCCCTCCCCCATGAACGGGTATCTATGGCAGCGTGGAGTGGGTAATGTTGCTCGCCTTTGAGACTTTGATCCACAGGTGCCATTATTAAAAAAAATAATAATAATTGCTCCAGAGATATAACAGAACTATCAAAAAAGTTGAGACGACGTCATTTAAAAAGTGGAAAGAGTGTTAGTTGATTGCTTGAAGCGTGTAGCCAGAAATAGTTATACTGCACCAGTCACTAAGTTTAAGAGTTACTCTAAAGCAGAGGATATAGTCCAATCGTTCTAATGAACTTTGCATGATTAGGATGCATAAGGTCGGCGAGTAAGGGTTTAAGTCAGGATAAAAATTTGTTCTTCGGTTGTTCGAATCGTCTACAGTCAGTTGAAATAATTAACAGTAATGACTACTCAACAAAGAGGACAACTAAGTGTGGATTGAATCTTAGTAATTGTCCATGGCTATAGCACACTGACAAAAAAATTATAATCAAAACTACCCGAATATGATAAAATTTATCGTGTTTCTGGCGGCATGGTAACACCAAAAGAACTCGGTAATTTTTACCGAATCACTTGAGTTTGATAAAAGTGAATATTAAATATGGTTCTATAACACGTAATGAAATTTGGTAAATAAGGTAAAATAATAAGCTTATGATACTTTAGAGAATGGCATGAAAACCATTTATTCGGTTAAATTTTCCAGTTTTGTATTTCTAATTAAATGTGTGGTAACAAGAATTATAATGTTGAGAACAAGAATTTCTGGTTAACCGTTACCATAGTAACGGAAAAAGTACCGAATGAATAGTTTAAATACAACGTATTTTGGTTTTATTACTCAATATTATGTTTTTGTTTTTTTTTACCAGAAATGTCATTACCATACAGAGCGGGTAATTTTACCAGAATTATTTTTTCTGTGCAGCAATGACCTATACGGAGTTTATTAAGACAGACCGCTACGATATAGTCAATCGTACGATGAATCGGCCAAGGTTCTTTTCATTAAAAAAGGCTCTCCGAAAAGTAAAAGAGGATGAGTCAAATGACCAATGCGCGGTGAGGGTCGAAGCCTCTTAACTATTTCGTTTCAACTCTTAACACTTTCCTTTATTTTACTTCATTCCAGTTTAAACTTTAGCCGTGAAAAAGGTTCAACTAATTTAATAATGTAACGATTTCTTTATGTGATGAAGAAAGTGTCCGCCTCTTTCCATCTGGGGTTCCTGTTTCCATTCAATTTGTTATTTGTTTCTATTACATTTTCTGTCGAACAGGAATTTTCGTGTGTGTAATAATTTTTAAAATGCTCCGAGTCAAATGCGGCTATACTGCATCAATCTCAGTATGAATAAAAATTTAGTGACTGACATATTTAAACTAAGAAATTTATGAGCTGATGCAAAACCAAAAGTGAAAACTTAAAAACAATTTTTTAATTTAAATAGATTGCCGGTAAAAACAGCAAAGACCTATTCATGTAAAGCAACAAGATTACAATATATGTGGCTGTTTTCTTTTCTCATTTTTCCTAATTCATATTACTTTTCTGATTTCGATTCGATTTTATCGATCATCAATCGCATTGATAGCAATCAAATACAATTCTGACAATAAAATTGAGTACAGGTGTAAATGAAAAATAAGCGATCCTCACGAGAAAACAATATTTGAAGCTTCTTCAACAAAATATACATTTTGTTATATCAGCTGAAGCAACCACTTTAGAACAGCATGTTATGTAATCTTCCCAAGTAGCAGTTTCATATTATAATTTTTGATTTTAACTAGCTGCATCTACGTTTTACGTCAGACAGTGTTCTAATTTTAGAAATTCCTGATCATCATCTCGGTAAGTACATTTTTTGCCTATTTTATCAGTTGAAAATGAAGCACTCCATTTTGGGATTCTGTACTTCGTCTCAATTTGAGAAAAATGTATATATGGCACTAATAGTTTAGCCAGGAAGTTGAAAGCGCATTATATTTCATGGTATTAATTTTCTTATGTCGTTGTATATTCTCAACGCATTTAGCGAATCAAAAGCAAGTTTTACGCCAAATAAAATAAGGTATCTTCGATAAAGCAGTTGTGTTAGAAGTTCAACCCACCAAAAGAAAGATTAACTATACATATAGTATTATTTAACCTGTGATATTCAGAATTTACAACAATTTCCCCATGGCTTAATAGATTATTTCATTTCTTACCACGTTTATATCAACTTGCCTTCGTGTATGTCTGTTCGGGTGGAATTTTGTAATCGATTTCAAACTAACTTCCCGACTAGCTACAGACTTCAAATTTGGCACATAGCTCAGAATTGGATGACAATGCATGGAAATGAAGAGAAAAAAGACACACAAAGTAAAATAAAATTAAAATTAAAGAAAAATTAATATTTTCGCGATTGTCTTTTGTTGTCGATTCGATTATTTCAAATTAGTTTCAAATATCAGTTAAAAAAATTTGTGTACAGTGAGTGTAAAAAAAAATCAAATAAAAATAATATTTTTAAAAACCGCGTTTTTGCAGTGGAGAATAATAATTAAAAAGCAAAAATTTGAAAAACGTGGGGAGCATGAAATACATAACAGTACATATACACGTACATATACACATTTTCTTACTCATACACATGCACAACCACATACACATTCAGATACAATTACAGATATACATACACATATTCTCATGAGCACACATACTGTTACTGTTATGTATTTCATGAGTCCCACGTTTTTCATTTTTCAAATTTCTGTTTTTTAATTATTATTCTCCACTACAAAAACGTGGTTTTTAAAAATATTATTTTTATTTTGATTTTTTTCTATAATTTGTTTTTGCTGAATTTCCATTATTTAAGTTAATAAAGACACGTTTTTAAAAACATAGTAGCAATATAAGAAACACGTGGTTTCATATGACCTTTAAAACATGAATTCAGTGACAGACCTACCTAACCTAAAAATCAAAGATAAATAATTCATAAAAACGTGCTAAAAAAAAACAATTTTTGATTGATTATAGCTGCAAGCTGGAAGATCATTCATATCATAAAATATTTATCAAATCATATAAAAATGACTCTTTTTTCGGCATGTAGCGTGTGAACCAGTGGCCGGAGTTGGTTTTAAAGTAGACTGTTAGGTCCGCCGTGTCTTCAAGCGTATGTGTACACCAAATTTGCGGCGTATTGGTTCAGACTTGCGGATTTGAATAAGGTACAGGCATACACACTTTCTTTTGTTACACCTACACACATATAAACATTCTGCTTAATTTATATTCATGAAAATTAGCGTTTTTAAAGGACTTCAAACTCAAAAGTAATTTACACCGAATTATGTAAATCGGGAGTACTTTTAAAAGTAAATTTGCGCACAAAATTCCAACTTACAAGGAAATTTTTGAAATTTATATAAACATTCTGCTTAATTAATATTCATGAAAATTCGCGTTACTAAAGGACTTTAACTTCAAAAATAATTTACACCGAATTATGTAAATCGGGAGTACTTTAGAAAATAAATTTGCGGCTCAAAATTCCAACTCACAAGGAAATGTTTGAACTTTCAGGTGTAACAAAAAAATTCTTAATAAATGAAAAATGTGTTGTGATCGTGGATTAAAATCCGTTAGTTTACACTGTTTGATTTCTGAACAGCTCATGACGTAAAAAGTAAAGCAGTCGGGTGACAATCCGTTGTCGGCCAGGAGCACCATAGGAGCTAAAGCTCCACAATTTCAAGACAGACACCATAGTTGTGGCAATGTGGTCAATACTACGAGTTTACTATTTTGATTCCCCAGACTGGCTAATACCCATAGAACGATATATAGGATAGAATTATATGCCATTAACTGGAATAGAATCCAATTTATACACTCACTATATCAAGAACCATACATAATAAAGGTTGCAATAATAAAGGTTTTAGGTGTAGTATCTATAATATTATTATATGACGATCGATATTAAAAATAGCCTAAACTTATTATTTTCCTTCTACTAACATAGGTATATAAACCTTTAAAAAAGCTACACAGTTTTAGTTGGTTGATTGAACGCATTTTGTAGTCAGATACAATAGTCAGATATTCCTCTTATTTACTCTTTTTTGCTGCTTAGTTGAAAATTTCTTTTATAAGATAGTTTCATATTTGGTTTTAAAAATTTATTCCCGGAGAATTTTAAATATAAATTATAATTGAAGTGATTAGGATAATACAATAATAAGTTTCATTTTCAATTATTTCAGAAGAGCAGTTTTGAAAAAAAAAACACCACGATTTTCATGTAGGATATTATTATCAGTACGTTAAATAATTATCAGTGTAATATTATCAGCACAACCGCATCCTGTGTGTATTGTTCCTTCAAGTTACAAGAAATGTCACTAGATGGCAGCAATACATCCTTTGTGTATTGCTGCCATCCAGTGGCATTTCCCGTAACTTGTAGGATACCTAACAAGAAAGAATATGAAAGGGTAAGTTTGATGCAAAAATGTCACCTTTTGGAAATAGTGTGAGTCTTGTGATTATTTTTTCCCTGGACCTTCAATTTTTCTATTGTAATCACAGTTTTGTTACGCGCTCTATATTTTTATTTTTACTTCAAGAGAATAAGTTAAAAGAAACAAGCAATATTATATTGATGGATTATAAATGCTTTTCCAGATAGAATTCCATTCAAACACTACATGAGGCTTTCTCAATGGCACATGAAAATGGTTGACCACAACAAAATAAAATGGACATTTTACCTCTTCATCGTGTTAATTGTCTTATTTACACTTCAGTTCGAAATGAAGTTATTTTCATCTCTGACGTGCGTCTTTAAATCAGATATGCAGCAGCCATACCATAGGAATGTCATCATATTCGATGGAGGCAGTACTGGAACCAGAATGCATATATATCGATTTTATTTCGATTCAAGTAAGCAATCCTATTTCTGCTATTTAGTTAAGGCAATTGTAGTATAATATATTACGTGAAAATTTCATAAAAATGTCCTGTCTTGAAATTCTAACCCCATAAAAAACAACAAAAACTTCACATAAAATTTATAGACACAGTAAATTGATGCAACTTCATTCAACACTGTATAGTAAAAACAAAAAAATTCATATAATTTTTTGTATGAAGGTTATCTAGGTTATACTGCACTCTGGTTATTCAACCACTATAAAATTGGCGAGTGGCGAGAAAGTTAAGCGGTAGAGTTCACTTTTTGTAAGTAAAGAAAGTTAATTGCACGAAATATGTGTGCTTTTTTTTTAACAAATTCCATTCTAATTCTTTTATTCATTGATTTAGAAAGTTCTTTAAATAAATTAGATCTTTTTAATTTATTTCTTTTTTAGAATACGCCAAATGAGTCATTTTTATTCACCTTTCTCTGATTCTCCATTTCTCGTTTGCTTCCATTTTTCTTCGACTTCTTACTCTAAACAGCGGGAATAAATTCTACCGGTTTGCTTTTAGCTCACTTTGCTCCCCGATGGAATAATACTTGTAATATTTGGAATAATTTGTAATTTTTAATTTGTATTTATCTCGATTTTAATATGACTTAAAAATAAAAAAAGAACATTACTAGCGATTGCTTCGAGATTCTTATACTAGTATTACTTTGAATTAGGTATCTCACCTTCGACAATGGAATTCTAATTTTTATCAATTAAACTGAAAAGGATAGAAACTAAAAAGTCTTACTTTCAATTTCATTTTACAGACTTAAATGCGATTGACTTTATTTCAACTTTTATTTCTTATTGTATGTAATATTTTGGCAGTGGAATACATTAATAAATTAGCAATTGTGATTTATATATTAAAGATATACTTTAGCAAAGCTTTAAAAGGGGCTGTATATCTTACAAATATGAAAATTTTTTTGCAAGAAGATTTTGAAGGAAGTGTTTTAACTTAATTTGATTTAAACTAACACTCAAAGGAAAAAGTATTTAAAAAAGAAATAAATTAACTCTTGTTTAGCATAACATGATTTTGAAGTAAGAAAAAAATAATTTTCGCAGGAGGTCTACTTTCCATCCAAAGTGAAATTAAAAGGAGAAGTAAACAAGGACTTTCCAAACTTGCTCATAAACCTTACAAAGTAAGTTTTTTTTTTTTTTGGAGGATCTGAAATTACAACGTTTGATTAGGTTCACACGTAGTTAATTAATTGGTTGAAACAAAATTTGAATTAATGAATCACGTTATTTTTTGGAGCAAGAGGCACAAAGAAGAATTGAAAGAGAAAGCTGATGATTGATAGAATGTAGAGTTTAGTGGCACAAAGTTCAAATCCATTCGAATCTCGTCTCTCGAATTGTAATTAAAAAATATATAAATCTTATTAGGCTATGATTTTTTAAAAAGGTAATCTTTAAATCCATTTATTTTTATACCTTTATAACCTTTATACCTTTAGCTGATTAAAAGTTTTTAACAGACTTAAATTGGGTGCAATCTGGAGAGCACAAGGTTCAAAAATGGACGTGCTGCTCCAAACAATATGTTAAAACAGATCAAAAACATAAAGTGCATGCTACAATTTATCCTTTATTTCAGTACGTTTTAGGAAATAGGTTGAGTAAATTGTCTATAGATGACTATTATGGCATAAATACTCGTTTTTCTCTAGGAGTTTAATAGCAATTTAATTCCTTTCATTCCATGATTTTCTTATTCTGAATTGAAAGCCATTTTCATTTAAAAAAATAAAGGCTTCAATTGAATATTCAAAATACGCTTTTTTCCACTCTTCGTAAGCAAATGAATTTAGAGTATACTTTGTTCTGCGTATGAATAAAGCAAAAAAACATGAATAAAGCACAAATAAAATTTTAAAAAATGGACGTACTGTAGTTCCAGTTCTATAATATATCCGAACTTATAGATCCGAAGCTGATGTCTATTTCTGTACCGTTATTTCCGCTTTATTCGCGTTGTTTTGTTTTATTCAGCTGTATGCTAATATTAATGATTTTTTTTTTGTTGCAGAAACAAAATTCGCTTTTGACAAAATTTTAAATTAAATTATTGCTAAATCCTTTATAAAGTAATATGATATTTTTTCATAAGGCAGCTAGTGTTGTCTCTTATTTGTTGAAAAGAGCCGAAGAATACATCCCTTACGAAGAATGGAATGAAACAAGTGTAGCCTTCATAGCTACGGCTAGTTTTAGAACACTTGCGAAAGAAGACACAACTTCTGTTTTAAGAGAGGTGAGATATGTTTAAAAGTACTTTCAGAACTCTTTCGCCAAGCATATGTTTAGGTTCCTTTTCTAAGAGGCATTTTAAACTACATAGGGGAAAAAAGTATGGTCAAATCTACCAGAATAGTGCAAAATTTGTCTTGTATCTGGCTCTATGGGAACACCCAACAACTATGTTCCTTTTACCGAACACTTTGGTAATAATTTTAGTAAAATTAGCAATCAAATAAGGTTTTATAATGCGTGATAAAATTTGGTAAATGTCGTAAAATTTGGTAATTTTATCATGAGCGACACATAAAAACCATTTATTCGGTTAAATTTACTCCTCAGTTTTGTATGTTTTACTAAATATGTAGTAAGAAGAACTATTATTTTAAAACCCAGAATTGTCGGTTTTTCATATTGACATTTTGCGCTGCTTGCGTAATTAGAATAGAGTGTACAGGTTAAAGGTAGGTCAAACTTGACCTAAAAGCCATTAATAACTAACTGTTGCAAACTCGCTGAAGTTATGAAAATTGCATTATTTCCTATGGCAACATAGTCTTCGAATAACAATCTAGATTAATGTTTCATTGTGTTTTGTTTTGCAAAAAACACTATTAGAGATTCATTGCGCTAGTGTGAACAATACTCAGAAAAAAAAATACATATACTTCTACACAATATTTATCTACGCCATTTTTAGAAGTTTCCTCTAAATCAAATGTAATTTACCTAACTTTTAAAAAAATTTACCTTTTCATACTTAGCTGTTTTATATTACAGAGGAAGAAAAACCGGTAGAATTAAAATTTTAGCAATTTCTAAACGCGGGACCCCGTAGAATTAAAATTTTAGCAATTTCTAAACGCGGGACAACTTGTCCGTTTATTAAAGGCTCAGTAGAATCTTGTTTGTTTTTTTTATTTGCAAGTATGTATATGAAAAGAATTTATTCTCCTTAAACTACGAATTTATTAATTCCTTATGATAGTTTTGTTAGATCTGACTAAAATAAAATTATTTCCTCCCTTTCAGTGTTTTGAAAAACATAATTTATGAAATTTTCCTTTTATTTTAAATGTTTCACTACTTGCAGACTTTATGTTACAGATAGCGAAGGTGATTGAAATTTCTCCATTTCTTCATAATAACGAAAGTGCAACTATACTTTCAGGAGAAAAAGAAGGTATCTTAAAATTTCTAATTAAATCCTTTATTTATTATTTAACAAAAATAAAATCGAGTTACATTTATTCTTAACTAGGAAGCTCCTTTCTCTCTTGCTTTACTCACCTTCTGTTCAATAGATTTTTTTTATTGGTGATAAGCAGTCTCTTCCATTTGAACTAAAAACCCTAAAATATAAATTTCCTGTTTGTACGTCTTTGAACTGTTAATCTTATTTATGTAATTTTTCTCAATTTTACATTTTCTAATATTTATCGTCAAAAATTGCATTAAATTGTCTGAGAAATAAACTTATTTCGTTATTTAATTATTTCGCTGACAAATCGGCGAACGTGGCAAGTTAGTCGTCAAATTATTCAAATATGAAAAAAAAACTACTCTTAAGTCTATTTTAATGCAGTTTTTAACAATAAATATTAGAGTATATCAAAAAAGATAAATAAGAGTCTAAGTTTAAAGACGCACGAATAAGAAATTAATAATGGGAAAGCACCATACCGGCGCACCATGTCCTTTCCGGCCATGGATTCCTATAAAATTCTCATTCCTGAAATTCTACGCTTTAAATTTATCGAAACAATTTAGACTCAAACTGTAGACCATATACAATTCCACCCAAAAGCAAAGAGGAAAATTTAAGAAAAAAATTTGTCCAAAATTTCTTAAAATGATTTGAGAATTTAGAAATAACTTAAAGCAGTTTTGATGAAGCAAGTGAAATGTACGTTAAAAACAATTAGTTTGGTAATTAATTTTTTAAGTAATTCAAAAAAATAATTTTTTATACAAACTTTTTCCAATGTTCAAACATACTTACGTTCCCGATTTTTGGTATAAGGCTTTTTATTTCTATAAAAACTTTAAAATTTTTTTACACCAGAAGTTTTTATATATGATATTATGAGTTTAAAAATATTATTAAAAAAATAAAATAATAAAAAAATTCTTTTCAGCTCTTTATGCGTGGTATGCTTTGAATTTCCTATTAGGTAATTCATTTTTTCTAAATATCAGAAAAATACAATAAATTTTTTACAATACACTAAATTATTTCAATAACATGCTTTCATAACTTATTACAATGTTGTTTTGTGCCTGGTAGCAGAATTTACAGCCTTATCTTCACAAAATTCAAAACTTTCCGCTACATAACGCAGTCAGGAAAAGATTAGTCGAAATTTTAAGTTTAATCTGACATAAATTTCACACGATTTGTAAACATTAAATATAATAAAGTTATACCTAAAAACATTATATTGCTTAAATTTACAATCGTACGAGAAAGAAATTCCGATAAAATTGATGACAATCACGTTTCTGATTTTAAAAAAAAAAAAAATTTAATTTTTGTACATGTGATAATTTTTCAGTTCATTTATTAATGGTTTACCAGAAATTCTAATTTTAAAAATCATAGTTCTTTTTATCGTACATTTAGTAAAAAATACAAAACTGAAAAGTAAATTTAATTCAACAAATGGTTTTTATACTATGCGCTAAGGTTTCATAGTAAAATTTAGCAATTTCATCGAACTTTTTCTCATATTATAAGACTTTGATTTATTGTTAATTTTACCAAAATCCTTAGCCAAGAGCTTCGGTAAAAATTACTTACCTTTTTGGTGTTCCCATAAAAATAGAAACATGGTAAATTTTACCATATTCTGGGATTTTTAGAAATGTTTTTTTCTTGGTACATACTTCAGCTTTGCCCGAAAGAAGATGAACTATTAAAGCAATAAAAAAGAAAAAGGACAAACTTGCATATTGTATTATTAAAATAAAATCTTCTCATTTTAAAGAAAGAAATTAACAGAATTGTAATTTATGGTGTTCTGATGCTAAACTGTCTGTTTGAAGTTTCTTCAAATGAAATTCACTACCATACCATTGCAGGTACTTTGCAGACGAATAATAAAACAATCCAGAAAATAAACAATAAGCAAATGTATTTTTCCGGTATCTTATTTAAGAAAAATGGAAAACCTTTCTTTATTTTTAATAAATGAAGATAGATAGATATTTTCTTTTTAGTTTTATATTTAAATTTTACTTATTCTCCGTTTGTTCTTGTTCGTTTTACATTTTATTTTATTACCGTCGTTGAACAGTCAAGCCAATTTTTAGATTTACGACTACTAATGTTCAACGCCGTAGACTTGTAATTTTGAAACCAATGTAGGAGACAAAGGAACTCCTGTATCAAGTATTGGGAGAAATTTGTCTTCGTGTTGGACTTTTTGATGAAACTAACCCGCATTTGCGTTACATGGAGAGGAAGACCACGAGAGGCTCCCAAGGTTAGCTTGACGGCAAGGAAACTCTAACCCATGATCCATCTACCATCGAGGATGTTTTACGTCAGTATGGTCGGTGCAAGCCGGATGCCGAATTCGTATCGGCCAGATATCACTGCGATTTGAACCCAGTTCATCTCATTAGAAGACGAACGCTATATTTTTGTTTGTTTGTCGTTTTAATGTAAGGTGGGATATTTAATATTATAATCTGCAATAAATCTTTAATAATCTGCAATAAATCTTCAATAATCTGCAGCGCGCTCTACCGTGCTGGAGGATGTCTGCTACCGAAGCTATGTGTAATATTTAAACAAAAAGTTGATTAAAGTTGTATTAAAAGTCACATTTTTTAGATCAGCAGAATGATGCCAGTCAAACCACTGTATTATTAGATGTTGGAGGACAGTCAGTGCAAATTGCTTTCGCTGAAGATAATCAAAATATCGAATATAAATCCTTGACTAATCTCCAACAAAAATCTATGACTTTATACACCCGAAGGTAAGCAAGGATTATCATTGATATCGGTTTCACAATTTTTTTTAATTTAATACAATTTGAAGTTCAGTTGTTAAAATTACTCTCTCACTGTAATGATTATTTTTTTAACGAAGCATAATTGGAAGAAATATTTAAGAAAAGTATATATTAAATAATTTAATTTGTTAGATATTGAAGCAATAAATGGGATTACACTTACAGGTGCATTACATGGGTATTGCTACCATAAGTCCCATTTCGTACGCTAGCGGGTAGAATTGAATTGAATGTAGATTTTAAATGTCACAAAAAATAGAATTGATTATATTTATAATAAAAACCAATGGTATTTCTAAAATAAATCGTACGTTTTGCATGTTAAGAGCACATAAAATTAAGAAGATTGTATATTTTTAGCATCACTAAAGTTGGAATCAGATAAACTACGCCAAATATAAATGAGATTACCTACTCCAGTAGAATAAATATATACAATGGTATCTTAAACTAAGTCTGATGTAAAAAGGATACAAAAAAAAGTAAAAAGATTGCTTAGAAACATCGGAATTATGGTCAAAAAACGGCAAACCACCATGGAAGACTTTTTCAGTTTCCTGATCATTCATTTAATTAAATGGACAAAGCTTTGAAGCTAAGAGATCACAATAATGCACAAGGTCAACCAAATGGTTATAGCATAGATCAGAAAAGAAATACAAAAAAACTTTAAACTTGAACAGCTTTAAACTTGTTTATCACTCATACTTATTACTAATGCGGATTTCATTTCAACGCAGGCACCGCTTTTTATTATGATTTTATATTCTTTGTAAATGGAATAGATGATTACGATAAAATTGGCAATTACATGATTTCTCCGCTCTCCTCGCTTTCATCCTCCCCGTACTCATGGTTTTCGTAAGTCTTGCTTTTTCCCCACTGCAGTACGCCTTAATAAGTAGTTGAAATATACTGTCGTGAGGAAAAAACAAGATTGGCATAAGCCATGGTATGGGTAAACAAAGAGGAACTATTACCCAGAAGATGCTCAGTCTATTTGCAAAAGAGTAAAATCATCGATTAATTAAAAATTAAAAAAAAAATGCATTTATTGTATATAAACTATTTAATTTTTAAAAAATAAAAGAGACCCACAACATCAAAAATATTTTCGATTAATTAGTTAATAACATATTATTATGCGAATAAAATACAGGTGAAAACAAATTTTGTTATTACATTTATGATCAGTACCTTTTATACGGTAAGTTGTTAAATCTAATTTTAAATTAGTTATTTAGGTATTGGTCTTGTGAATGCAGGGTTCTCTCTTGGTCACATTGTGCCTCGTCCTAGACAAGTAGGTAAGATTTTAAAAAATAAATTGATTGCTTCATTTTAATAGAAATGTATTTTGTTTTAATCAAAGAGCCTTTCTTTTGGTGCGCACAAACTGACAGCCAACCTATTAAAAATGGATTTGCAACGTAAATGGTAAATGAAAATTGTCCTACTTCAGAAGGCAATTTTTTTTTTAACTAAATTGACTTTTGTTTACTAAAAGACAAAAAAATATTTCCCAATTAAAAGAACGTTTTTCTGTGAAACATTAATCAAACTAAACTGCTTCTTTGATTTACAATAAATAAAATCAATGGTTATTTCAAACAACAGCAGATTAGGGTACATCAGGAAAAAGTGCGGGAATTACTAGGAAACGACAACTAACGCTGAATATATATATATATATATAT